AAATGATGGCCAAAATAAAGAATTCAACAGAGGACTTAGAAGATAAAATGCAAAAAAAAATTTTTTTTAAGTAGAACAAAAAAGGGCACGTGAAACAGGTAATAAATAATAAGGAAAGGAAGATATGAGAGTAATTTGGCTGTGACACCTGCCACCACATTGATGTCAGGGTTGATTTGGCTGATCTGGCTGGATAGATGGGTGTCCCCTGCCTCCCTCTGTGCTCCACGCACAACCCCCTGAAGCTGCACACTTGGTCAAAGAGAACAACCTTCCCTGATAGAGAAAGATTATTATTTGGTCAAAGGCATACAAAAAGTTTCTGGTATCTCCAAACAAGAATAAGAAAAGAAGAGATCAATGAAGGAGACAAAGAGAAAAAAATGGCAAGGAGAAAACGGAAATTAAAGTTTAAAAACAGACCTGAAGTATATAGTCTTCAGTCAGAAAGAAATCATCATGTGCCTAGGAAAAAATTAAAATAATCCATCTCAAAACACATCATGGTAAAATTCTGGAATACTAGTAATAAAAAGAAGCTCCCAGGAAGGAAAAATACATCACATACAAAGCATTGGGAAAAAGAAAAGCCAGACTTCCAACAAGAGCATTAGAAATTAGATGACAATGGGGTAAAAACTTCAAAGTTCTGAGTAAAAATGACTCATTCAAAATTTCAGCCAACTTGGCAATCAAATGTAACAGTGTGTATGTGTATATATATATATATTTATATGTAATATTTATCAATATATATAATAAAAAGTCTCCCAAAAGAACAAAGTTACAGCCTATACAGACTTTTTGTAGGTACTGGAGGATGTACTCCATCAAAAGGAGGGAGTAAATCAAAAAAGAGGGCTCCACAGAGTCTAAAAAACAAAGGATCAATACAGAAAGAGGCAAAGGGATTCTCAGGATGTCAACAGGGCAGCCGGCCCAGAAACGCCGCGTCCAGACGACAGTAGGGGACTGAGGGCCTTGCACAGATGACTGCAAGGAGTGGAAATGGAACCAGGAGCTCATCAAATAGCTGGAAGGTCATGTTGAGATAGTTTTTGAGCTCTCAAAAGGTGTAGGAAGCTAGATGCAGATTCAAAGAAAACAAAGTAAATGAAAATAAGGCAATTATTAATTCCAGGAAAATCAATGTTACACAAATGAGGAGATCTAATCATGATACTGTAATCCAAAAATAAAATTCTAAGGCCCCCCAACCATCTGAATACTTCCTCCTTAGCTAGGGCTCTTTTAAAACGTAACCTGAAAAACTAGTTCAGACCAGGATGGGAAGTGGGGGTCAGACATGCCTCATTAGACCTCTCAGACAGTAGCATCAACACGGACTTTAAGTCTGATAAGAAACATTTTACAGCCTATTCCCTTTAAAGCCTGCTACCTGAAGGCTTCCTCTGCAAATAAGAACTTGGGTCTCCACAGTCCTTTATCTTAACCCAGACATTCCTTTCTATGGATCCCAGGTCTTTAGAGAAACTCAACCAGTTGTCAACCAGGAAATCTTTTAATTTACCTATAAGCTGGACGCCCCTGCTTCAAGTTGTCCCTCCTTTCTGAACCAAACCAATGTACTTCTTAAATGTATTCGATTAAATCTCATGTCTCCCTAAAATGTGTAAAACCGAGCTGCACCCGACCACCTTGGGCACACGTTCTCAGGACATCCTGAGTGAGGGCTGTGTCCCAGACTATGGTCATTCACATTTGGCTCAGAATAAATCTCTTCAAATATTTTACAGTTTGGCTCTTTTCATCGACAATACGCATGTCATAAATACCACATGAAAGTACCAGAAAAGGATTTGACAACAATTTGTAAAGAGAAAGTTAAGCTCCTCATTTGCCAAGCTAGGAAGTCACAAATAATACCTTAGTTCAGATAATTTATATAATATTTCTGAAAAATACAGAGACACATCCAGAAGAAATAGCTAAAAAGAATTTAAAAGTATTGCCCCTGCAAATCAGAGTTAGCTATAAGACTGCTGGGTTTTTGCTATGAACTTTTAATTCCATTTGTGTTTTCTATTTTTAAGAAAAATAATTTGATAGAAATAGAAATTATTCTTATTAGTGATGACTAGTGACCACAGCTAGCCTTCAGTGCCTCACACTGAGCTGAGAACTTTACATGTGTTACACACATAACCCTTGCCCACAACCTTCTAAGGTGATTGCTGCTAACACCACCCCAATTTACAGAAGTAATATTGAGGTTTAGTGCTAAGCCACCAGCCAAGCAGAGTCAAGATCCGAATTCAAATTCAACTGCAGAACCTGAGCTCTTATGCTATACTGCTTTTCCATTTTTAAAGATTTTATTGTTTAGACCATCCTCTTAGGCACTATCAAGAAGCCACATACCCAGTACATGCATCTTACACACACACATACACACCAACATCTTCTGGTGGAAAAATAACTCCCAGGACAAGAGATGGCACAGTATTCTGTAATCTAAATAAACTCTGATTTGCTATTCCTTCTCCTCACCCCCGAAACATTCTAAATTGGCTAGATGAAATCAAAGCTTTTGTTATTCAAATGCAAAGTGGAACATTTTATGACATAAAACCCCACTGAGAAACAAAAGGAAACAGAAGTGTTCCTTGGCACCAAGCACCAAAACTTGGACAATGAAGCTCTGTTAAATGAGCAGATCCTAACAAAACTACATGTAGTTAAGAAGTAAAGGTTGGCTGGGCACAGTGGCTCACTCCTGGAATCCCAGTGCTTTGGGAGGTGGAGGCGGAAGGATCACTTGAGCCCAGGAGTTTGAGATCAGCCTGGGCAACAAAGTGAGACCTTGTCTCTATAAAAAATTAGCCAGGCACGGTGGTGCATGCCTGTAGACCCTCCCTACTCAGGAGGATGAGGGTAGAGGATTATTCAAACCTGGGAAGTTGAGGCTGCAGTGAGCCATGAGTGAACCATTGCGCTCCAACCTGGGGGACAGAGAGAGACTCTCTCAAAAAAAAAAAAAAAGTTAAGGTTTTCATAACTCTCAAAGAAGAGCTTTCCACCTTCTTTTGGTGAGGCTGTGGGGAAAACGGCACTCACATCCATTGCTGGTGAGGGCAAAAATTGGTACAACACCTGTGGAGATAATTTGGTACTATTTATTCAATCTCACTTCTGGAAATTTGTCCTGCACATACAAAGCACACAAGAGAAGTGATAAATGCCTTGGAATTATTTATTGCAGCATTGCTTTTAATAACTAAAAATTAACTGGGCATGGTGCCATCGGCCTATAATGCCAGCTACTTGGGAGGCAGAGGCAGGAGGCTCACTTGTGACCAGAAGTTCGAGACCAGCCTGGGCAACATAGTGAGACCATGTCAATAAATAAATAAATAAAATTAAAGATTAGGAACAACCCAAAGGTGAGCAGGTTAAATACAAAGTGGAATATAATGGAATGCTATGCAGTGGTTAAAAGCAGTGCTTATGGGCACAGACGCTGTAGCCAAATTAAGAGGATTCATGGGTTAACATATGTAAAGCATTTAGGAGAGTGCTCAGCGTGCAATACAGCCAGTGTAAGAGGTGGTTATGCTTCAGATTATTACTACCAGGGTGGAAAAATCTCCAAGCTATATTGTTCCATTTGTTTAAAGCTCAGCAAAGCATGTATGAATGCTCTATTTTAGATACAAAAGAGGGACAACTGAAAATACATACCCACAGCATCTTATATAAAGAAGCCTTGGAAGGATATGCAAAAAATAAATTAAAGGGGTTACCTGTTTCATCTTCGGTCGGAGGAATGGGAAGAGCTAGGTGGATGGAGGACTTGGGTAAGGGCAAGAGGTTTCATCGTACCTTGTATTTTCACTGAATTTTATGTTTTTGAGCTACAGAAACACATTCCCTATTGAAAACATTACAATAAAAACTGAACAATTTTCATTAATCCAATAAGCATTTCATCCTCATCCGCTGTAATCAAAATGCTATGGAAGTCCCTCTGTGAGGGTCAGAAGGGACAGAGAGGAAGGCGAGACCCTGGCTTCTGCCCTGCAGGAGTGTGTCCTCCACTTGGAGAGGCAGAGCATGCCAAGCACACACAGGGAAGACAGTTTGGAGTGACAGGTACGAGTCTGACTGCGGATGCACAAACACCACAGGGCTTGCGCTTCCATCATGCAGATATGAGGCGGCTCTTAAGAGGTACTTACCCTTAAGAGGGAGGGTAAGTTGTGGGAGGGGAGTATCACACACTGGGGTCTGTTGGGGGATTTAGGGGGAGGGACAGCAGTGGGTGGGGAGGTTGGGGACAGATAACATGGGGAGAAATGCCAGATATAGGTGACGGGGGGATGGAGGCAGCAAACCACATTGCCATATATGCACATGTGCCCCAGAACCTAAAACACAATTTTAAAAATTTTTTCTAAAAAAAAGCTTATAAATATTTCTTAGCGAAATGCATATAATAGCAATATGATACACTTCATCAACCCAAATTTCTTATTCCAGAATCAAACTCCGTTCCCGCTAAAGAAAGGCCTCAAGTCCTTATGCGAAATAAAATGTAATCTCTAGATACAAGGTTCTGGAATTCTCACAAAAAGTTGGTATTCTTAGGCAGACCTGATTTCTATGACTATTTTTAGAGCACACCAAAAAGCTAAGGTATAAAAATTATTAGTATTATTATTATGCACCTTTGTAAGTAGGAGACATTTGTTTATATAATTTGCATACAGGGAACATTCATATCTGCAATAGGTAATAATTAATGATAAAACAAATCAAAATAGGGTGTAAAAATACTGATAGCAATCCCAGATGTTTTGATATTTTATTACTGTTATTGCAGATGTCTCAAAATCGCATTTACACCCATCACCACTTTGAAATAATGGTAGTTATCAGATCCACCAATAAATCTTATTACTTAGTATGTTATTAAAGAAGCAAATAAGGTACCATATATTTTTGGTAACTATTAAAAAAAAAAACAAAGAGGTACTTACCCTGTTGTATAAGGGATGTTGATGCCCCCTAGATTAATGCTTTCACATCCAACAATAAATAGGGTTGAAAAACACAGTAAAGACACACCACTGCAGATCATTGCTAGTTTTGCAGATTCTCTGGCACCAAGTTTCAATTTTTTAATAATGTAGCCTCCGAGAACAATACCAACACCAGCACTGGGGACGATAATAACCCCTGGGGAGAAGAGAAGGAGAGAGTTAATTTGCACTCGTGTATATTGTTATTCATCTTATCTATTCTGTCTCTTGCTCACAGTACTAGGGTAAAGAATCAAAAACCACTATAATCAATACATCTTCATTGTGTGTGATTTTATAAGATAATTTTCAACACATATAATCAGCAAAGAACTCCCATCCAGATTTCAATAAAATCTTTTACACAGCAAGAAAATAAAGACAAGCAACCCATTAGAAAAGTGAGTAAAACTTCGACAAGTTCTTCACCAAAGACAAAATCCAGACAAACAATAAATATGTGAAAGAGGCTCAACCTCATTACACAGAAGGAAATACAGATGAGGCACCTAACACATCGAAATGATACTCAGGTGACAGACACCCTAAATACCCATTACACATTCTATGCATGTCACAGAATTTCCCATGTACCTCATAAATATGTATGAATATAATGTATAAAATAATTTTTTTAATGTAAAACCCACAGTGAAATACACTACACACCAATCATGTTGGTAACAACTGTACAGTCTGACAATACCACAGGTTAAAAATGTAGCACATTAAGAACTCTCAACACATTGGCAGGATGTAAATCACAACACTCACTTTGAAAAACAGTGTGGCATTATCTGGTAGTTGAAGATATACACGCCCTGTGACAATCAGTTCCATTCCTGGATCTATACCCTGAAGACACTTGTGCACATGGGTAAAAGATAGGGACAAGATATTTGAAACATCATAATAGTAAAAAACTGGAAGTAAACCAAATGTCCATTAATAGATTTATCATATACAGTATATCCATATAAAGGAGTGCTTCTATACACTTATTAAATGGAAAGAAAGGTAGCTACACACAACTTTGTATGATGAATCATACAAAGACAATGTTGAACACAAGGAACCAAATGCAACAGAATGCACATGACCTGACTACACTGGTATGAAGTTCAAGAACTTGTAAAACTAAACAGCATTGTCTGGGAATGTACACACAGATGGTACAACTGCGAAGAAAACCCAGCAGTAATTAACATAAAAGCCAAGATAGTAGAGGGATGCACAGTATCAGGAAAGGATACAGGAGGTTCCTCTGGTGCTGAAAAATACTTCATGCCATGACCTGGGTAATAGTTACTGCTGTGGTCTGAATGTTTGTGTCCTCAAAAATTCACACGATGAAATCCTAATCACCAAGGTGATCAGGAGGTGGAGCCTTTGGAAGGCAATTAGGTCACAAGAATGGGAGGCCTCATAAATAAGATTCGTGTCCTTATAAAAGAGGACTGAAAGAGCTACCTCGCCTTTCCATGTGAAGTTACATGGTGGGAGGTTACATGTGAGAAGACAGCCTTCTGTAAGAAACTGGGCACTCCTTCAGCACATACTGAATTTGCCAGGGCCTTGTTATTGGACTTCCCAACCTCCAGAACTGTGAGAAATAAATTTATGTTGTTTATAATCCACCCAGTGGATGGTAATTTTGTTACAACCACCTGCATGAACTAAGACAGTTACACAGTGTTCACTTTATAATTATCTCTAAATTGTGTTTAATGTACTTCTGGGTATGTTATTTTTTCACCGTAAAGAATAAAGCAATTGGCTAAGCACAGCGGCTGGCGCCTGTAATCCCAGCATTTTGGGAGGCCAAGGCTGGCGGATCAGGTGAGGTCAGGAGCTGGAGACCAGCCAGGCCAACGTGCAAAACCCCATCTTTACTAAAAACACAAAAATTAGCCAAGGGTGGTAGCACATTCCTGTAATCCCAGCTACTCAGGAGCCTGTGACAGGAGAATCCCTTGATTGAACCCTGGAGGCAGAGGTTGCAGTAAACCAAGATGGCACCACTACACTCCAGCCTGGGCCACAGAGTAAGACTCCATCTCAAAAACATAAAATAAAATAAAGAAATCATCATGATGCCTGCCCCCAAGAACCTTACAATCTAAAAGAGAAACAAACTACTTAATAGGGAATAGAATGAAATAAAATAATTACATGAAGTGCAGGAAGAGTCTTCCCTGGATGAAATCCAAGAAGGCCTCACACAAGTGGCAGTATTTGAGTTGACTCTCAATAGATGAGATAGAATATGCCCAATGAACCAGCACAGACAAAGTCCCACACAAAGAAAGTATCTGCACAAAGAAAATACATGCACAGAGGCATGAGATAACAAAGCTGAGGATTCAACACAATCCAAAATATTGAGTATGAAAAGCAAGCAGCTGGGAGGTGGAAAGACCTGGAGAAGAGAGAGAGGGAAAAAGGAGACCATGAAAGAAGCTTAGATTGTAGCTCTGACAAAGGAGGCCGCTGAAGAATTCTGAGCTGTGATTGAAAGGATGGAAGCTGTGTATTACAAAGATCGTCTCTGAAGTGAGATGCAAGACAGCTTAGATGGGGTCAAAACTCGACTCAGAGAAATGGTCAGGAGGATGACTGCAAAGGTCCTTGTGAGCCACAGTAGGGCCCTACAAAGATGGCCCAATAAATTAGATAAGACAGGGAGACAGGAAGGATGCCTGCATGACACCAGATGGTGGGAAAAATTTGGAATATGAGGAGGAAATGTGTGTGCAGAGCAGCTCAATGGCCACCACTCTAGACTTGTTGATGGTGAAGGACCTGAGGAACAATCAGGTGGAAATGCTCAGCCGGGCGCGGTGGCTCATGCCTGTAATCCCAGCACTTTGGGAGGCCGAGGGGACAGATCATTTGAGGTCAGGAGTTCCAGACCAGCCTGACCAACATGGTGAAACCCTGTCTCGGGGCTTGGTGGTGCATGCCTGTAATCTCAGCTACTCAGAAGGCTGAGGCAGGAGAATTGCTTGATCCCAAAAGGCAAGGTTGCAGTGAGCTGAGATCGCACCCTTGTATGCCAGCCTGGGTGAAAGAGCAAGACTCCATCTCAAAAAAAAGAGAAGAAAAAAGAAAAGGAAAGAAAACCAAGAAACCTAGGAGAGAGTTTCAAGGAGAAAATGACAACATTATCAAGTGCCTTAGAGAAGTCCGGTAAGAAAGACTGAAGTGAGACAATGTGTCACTGGACCTCTGACAAGAGCAGTTTTAAGAGTGTCATGCAGGAGTAGTCAGTCACAAGGACCTAGAGTTTGGGAATCCAGACAGCCCTTTCTAGAACTTTGCATGTAAAAGGGATATGAGTCTCGAATTAGGCTGGGGCCAAGGTAGGGCTGGGGTTTAGAGGGTTTTATCTGTTTCCTAGGATGCAGAGAGGACTTAAGCATATTTATATACTGAGGAAAATAAACTAAAAAGGAAATGAATGGTTGAATGTGGAGGGGAAAGTTTAGGGAATGGCAATGCAAGACCTTGAGAAGTCAGGATAATATAGAATTAACAGCACAGATAATCAACTTGGCCCTTAGTAGAGAGAGAGAGAGAGACTCCTTCATCTGGGCTAGAACAGAGGTTAAATCCATGGGTGAGTAGTAGCATTACAGTGTTAGTTTTTCTGTTATGTTTTCCCATTATTTTGTAAACATAATGTAGTACATGCTGTAACAAAACATTTGAAAAACATAGAAAAGTAGGAAGAAAAACACAGAAAAGTAAGAAGGAAAACAGAAAAATAGGAAGGAACAAAAATCCACTGATTGCATTCTGGCGTATTTCATTGCAGACGCTTTTCGTCTGAGAATTCATAACATGCTGGAGATTCATTTTTTTATAGCTTTGATTTTTTTTTTCTGTACAATTGAAAATAAAACCAACTCTTAGAAGGAAGAGATATTGAGAACTTTAAATGTGGCCAAGGGTTGGAAAAACCATGGTGGGAAAGTGAAATCAGAACTACACAGGTCCAGACGATATTGGACACCAGAAGTTTGCAGCTGCATTCGCGTGCACGGTTGCATGCTCCGGCATGTTCAGCAACCCACAAAGAGGAGCAGAGGAAGACAGGGAGCTTAACTGAAAGCCAGTTTTGCCTGGCACCCAGTGTTCATCCTGTAATCCTCACCAGCGTCCTGTGAAATCGGCAATGGCTTTTTTTTTTTTTTTTTTTTTTTTTTTCTGAGACAGAGTTTCACCCTTGTTGCCCAGGCTGGAGTGCAGTGGTGCGATCTTTGCTCACTGCAACCTCTGCCTCCCAGGTTCAGGTGATTCTCCTTCCTCAGCCTCTGAAGTAGCTAGGATTAAAGGCGCTGGCCACCATGCCCCGCTAATTTTTGTATTCTTAGTAGAGATGGGGTTTCACCATATTGGCCAGGCTGTTCTCAAACTCCTGACCTCAGGTGATCCACCCACCTCGGCCTACCAAAGTGCTGCGATTACAGTAGTGAGCCTGGCTGGCAATGGCCCTTTTACAGATGAGGAGATTGAAGGCTCAGGAAAGTGGCCTGCTTATATTTATAATGCACAGCACAAAAGGGAGAGTTTGGATGGAAACTGACATTTTCGTTCCCAGCCCCACACTGGGCCCACATTATCACAGCTGCCTCTTACACCCAACCACTCCGTGAAATCTCACCCAGAGCTCTGGAGTGAGATGAGCTGGTGAGGGAAAGTACCCTCCTCACCAAGAAAACGTATACATACTATCAATGTGATTAATTTGCCTTTAGAATGAAAATGTTTTATTCATAAAATTTCCATTTCAACTGAGCAATTATGGAGCGGCAGATACCGTACTAGACCCTCAGGATAACAACAAATCTCCATGCTGGCAGCTGAGTCATGATTAAAAAGCAGCAGAATTTATTTGCCTATGCATCCTAATTAGCATTAGGCCCTCAAAAACAGAACATTTGTCATCAGTAAATATGAGGGTACATCAAACAGAGTGAAAACCCATGGAAATGTTCTTCTGCGCCTCCATCATTTCCATCTCACTGCACTATCAAGATAGAAAGATCTGACCACTCATTACGCGAATATGGACATTGCTCGGATCCCCGGTCAGAGAATGATGTAAAGTTTGCTTTGGGGAATCATACGCATCTTGGGAAGAGCAGTGGGGAT